ATAAATGTATATTCGTAAAAAATTTCATTAAAATGTCTATTAGTTTTTCAAAAATTCAACATAATGAGCAAATTCTCTTAATTTTGCACATGAGTGTAGATATTTTCCCTCATAACCTGCAAAAGAATGGTTATAAATGTGATAAACAATCTCACTAAAAGACATGTCCATCACGAAAAAGCAGTTTGTGTGAATGTGAATCTGTGGTATACTAGCTGAATTTTATTGATTTTCAGTGAAATTTTTAAAACACAGTGCTCTGACCTCCCAGAAAATAATGAATACATTCTCCTAAAGTCAAATAGCATGCTCGTGTTATGAAAATTAAGTATCATTATAAATATACTGAAGTATTCTTTTCTTAAAGAAGGTGCATAATATTTAGTTTTTTTACTTCCAGATATTTGTTCATTTGATAAGTTTAACTAATATCATATTCAGAAGGCAGTCAAAAATTTCAGATATGTTGTGTGAGGATTATCAAATCAAAATTCAGAAACAGACAAATTTATTTTATATTATGTTTATTGATCAGCCAGATGCTAAAGTTTTAAAAAATCTTAAGACTATCAGATTTTTGCACAACTTATGCCACACTGTCGAATATGCTTAACACCAAAAATAGATGTGAACATTAAATCATTAATAAGAAATTTTGACAAACCCCACTATTCACATTGTCATCTAAAACCATTTTTAAAACTATATCATTGCAAATTATAGATTTAAGGTATGGTCTGATACATGAATATTATAATCGGCTAATAGCATCAATACTTTTAATACTGAATTTTAAAATAATTATGAAAACATTTATAAATCTTGCTCTCTGATTGATGGCCTTTATTGATTTATGGTTCTTGATCAGTGCTTTTTGACCATCACAGGACTTCAAACAGGAAGACCTCAAATAAAAATTCTGCAGTTAGAAATTGGTCACAGAATTGCATTTTCTGTAACTGAAGATCAAACCACTGCAACTTTTTTTGAAAAATATTTTTCAAATTAATTCAGGACAAGTCCTAATTATTACCTAGGCCAACAATGCTTGGATCAAGGGTCTCAGATTTTAAGGGTGATCCTGGATCTCTTTCTAGCCCTGTTCTTCTAACAAGATTAATGCAAGTTTTGAAAATTAACGCAAAATTTGAATTTGCCACAATTCGTGCAGTAAGGTGTTGGCAACCCTATTAGAAAAATCATTTGACAGCTGATAGTTTAGGGCTAATAGAAATGAAACGTTACATGATAGAATGGGTTTTCATTGTTGAATAATATTTAAAAAATAATGAAAGTCTGGTAGCCACAGTTCGAAATTTTCGTACAAAATATGGTCCAAATAGTGATTTAACTTCGTAAGCTATGAAGAAAGTAATTGAAAAATTCAGGCAGACTGGATCAGTTGGTGATCCTAAATACACTGGTCACTCAGAAACAAGCCATTCAAACGTCAGTATCGAAACATTGCGTGACAGTGTGGGCGAAAGTGCAGGAACATCAGTTCGGCGTCGTGGACAACAACTGCAAATTTCAGGAAGCTCTTTACAGTGTATACTCACTGAAGATCTATATCTCCATACTTACAAAGTTAAACTGACACAAGAACTGAAGTCTAAGGACAATGCGGAACGAAGTGAGCTCGTGGATGCCAATTTTTCAAACAAAATCATTTTCAGCAATGAAGCACATTTTCATTTTGATAGCTTTGTTAATTGTGAAAACTGTCGCATTTGGGATTCCAAAAACCTACCTGTGATTGTCGAAAAACAAATGCATCCTCAATGTGTTGCTGTTTGGTTCTTTGGGGCTGGAGGCATCATTGGACCGTACTTTTTCGAAAATGAAGCTGGTCAAGCAATATCGTGCTCAATATTGTGACATAATAACGAAATGGTTTCTGCCTAATTGGATGATATTGATCTGGATGACATGTGATTTCAACAAGATGATGCCACATGCCATAAAGCCCTTGAAACAATTCAATTACAGCATGAGACATTTCCTGGTCATGTACTCTCTCATTTTGGTGATGAGAATTGGCCCTCTAGATCAAGAATGGGTAAACTTTTTTGGTCGCGGGCCAAAAATTTAAAAAAAAAAAAAGTTTGGCGGGCCAAGATAAGTTTTTCTAAAAATTTAAAAATTATATGCAAGTATTACAATTTAAATATATTAATGAGATGAATGAAATTGAGATTTCATTTTTAAAAGTTCCTTATATTGATGTTCCAAGTGAGATGAACTGATTCTAAGGAACAAGGCTAAATGCTCATCTGTCAGTCTACTTGTGAAATAATTCTTTCTAAAGTTAATATTTGAAAACACTTTAACACTGGTTTTCTGAGTGGGAGATATTAAATTTGGGAGACTTACTTTTGATAATAATTTTTAATTCTCTAACTTTGGCATATTTAGAAACAACTGCTTGAGATGATTGTTAGATTGCAACTCAATTAATTCAAGCTGCATGTCTGACCTCACTGCTTCACAATTTACATTGAAAGGCATGATAAAAATATCCAATTCAGTTTGAATGGCACTGAAATCTTGAAATCTCCATTCGAACTAAAAATGCAATTTTTTCGAGCCATCTTCATAATTCTTAAACTTCTCTTCATTTACTGAGAGTATTGAATTTAACCTTGGGAAATGAGACAAGTCGTTCTTAGCTAGCCACCCAGCTAACAGATTACTTTTTAGTTTAAAAGCTTTGAGATGGGCCAAGATATCATCGATAAATTAATTTTTCCCTTGCATCTTGACATTCAGGTTGCTCATATGACAAAGAATATCTGTGAAAAATGCAAAATCCGAAAGCTATTCTGTGTCTTCTAACATTTCGCACTGTACAGAACATGGAAGAACAACACAGTGTCGTCTTTCAGCTGCTAAACTGGCTCGAAAACACATCCTGCACCAAGCCACTTAATTTTGTGTAATACAGTACATCAAAGTATTCAGATTGCACTGACTGAAGAAAATATCGAAATTGCCTGTGAGTAAGCCCACAAGATTGAATAGTATTTACAAGCTTCACGACTGCAGCAAGCACGGGTTTCATATTTAATGCAGATTTACACAGAACATCTTGATGTAAAACACAATGTAGAAAAACATTGTTCCCGGGAAAGTTTTTATTAAAGCCTCCAAGAAATCCTGAATTTTTCCCCCTGTCGCATTTAGTGCTCCAGCAATCGTTCTAATAATGATGATGTGGAGGTTATTGCATTAATTTGCAAAGGTACTCCGTAACATAATGCCTTGGTCCAGCAATTGTAATATTGCATATATGTATTTGTTATAGGCACTTTCAAAGTTAAAAACCCTTCCTGAAATTCATGAAAAATATTGCGTCCCATTCTAGTTCCTTTCAAAGAACGCATGCATGCCACTTCCTTGGTAATTTCAAAGTTCTCATTAACACTCTTGTAAATAATACTAATTGAGCAGTATCATTTATATCAGTACTTTCATCCATAACTATGGAACAAAGTTTAAACAGGCTAGTCTTTGACTCTAATTGTAATGTCAAATTTTTATCGGTGTCTTCGATTCTTGAAGTCGCCGTTTTTTGAGATAAGCTTACAGTCTCAAAATTATTTTTCTTATCTGGACACAAAACATGAAATACTCGACAAGGACAGGAATATCAGGCCCTACACAGCATTTCTTCATGAAAGTCAGGAAATGCAGAGCCAAGACATCAGCAGCAGACAGCATTCTGCCAGCCCACATACTAGGAGTATTTCACTCAAATTTACTGTGTTGAAAAGCATACTCAGGACTTTACTAACTTTGACGTTTATGTAGCAGGATTCAAAAGACTATTTTCTCGCTTCTGATTGGACTTCAGCTCATAACACTCTCACCGCCAGTGAGTCTGCAGAGACAGTGTGCCTCATTTTATTATTCCCAAGTGTTCACATCTTTATGGTGAAACAATTATGAAGAGCCGTTATGTGTGAGGCCCCTTGTGGGATTCATGCTAAGCTCTGGTTAGAGCAGGATAAATTCCTGCTAAACGCCAGAATATGCAACTAAAGCATCAAAGGCTATAGAACATCACAAACTTGGAGCATGCATTGTTTAACGAACTCCCCATCATTGAGAGCTTTATTATTTTTAGCAATATTGTATGCTACAATGTAACTTGCATGTGTAGCTGCTTCTTGGATACTGTTTACCTCTTCGAAAAAATTTGTTGGCCTGGTATATTTTTAATAAATAATATTTAAACAAAGTAGAAAAGGAGATGGATACATAATATATAAATATATATTTCTTTTAATTTGCCTTCGGACCGGCAAATTAAAATTCTTACCTTGGGCCGGATAAAATCTTCTGGCGGGCCATAGTTTGACCATCCCTGCTCTAGATTGTGTGATTTAACACCATTGGATTTCTTTTTATGGGGTTATTTGAAGTCAAAGGTCTATGCCCACAAGCTTGCATACATTGAAGGAGGAAATTCAGTACTGCATCAAGGAAGTTTACTTGCATTTATGCAAAATGATCATGGAACATTTCGACAAAAAGTATGTATATGCCAGCAAAAACATGGAGGCCGTTTGACCGATGTGTTATTCCGTACATAACCCTAACATAACCCTATCCTGTGTACTTTATAATTCAATAAAAAAATAACAATTTAAAGAAAATAACTGTGTTTTTTATTTAATTCAAATCTTGCATTAATTTTAGGATATTTATAATAAATACAATAATAAATAATATATAAAATATAATAAAAACAAGGAAACTGAGCAATGATGGACAGAAAGAATGATGTGCAAACAACCCAAATCTATCTTAACTGGGTTTTAATTCAGAAGTTTTTCATTTACTTCATAATATAAGTTTACTGCTTCATATATTTTCTTTAAAATTTTATTAAAGGTAAATTTGCTGAGTTGCATTCTTTAACATTGCTTTCTTCTGCAGTGTCTGATGTATTGGATAATGGAGCTGTTTACATATATTTTTAAATTTTCTTTACATAGATATAAATTCTGAAGCTGAGTTCAATTCTTCGATATTACCAAGAAGAGCTGCAGAGGAATCTCATTCTTCAGAAGGTAATTTTAGTTATTTTGATGATGAAATCATAAAAATGTGTTAAGCAAGAAATGTTTCTAACTTTTTAATGATTTAAACTTTTTACAAAGTTCTTACTTCTGCATAATAATTGTACTCTTTCAAGATCTTGATCATGCCAAGTGCATTAGGAAGTGATCCATATTGAGAAGCATTTGGAACATAAGTTTCCTAAGCCTGTGAACTACGTGGTATTTGGCAGTTTGTTCTATTGTAGTCTCAGTATGAGATAAGCTCATTTCCATCCAACCAAAATATTTTTATCTGTTCCATAATCTAGCTTTGAAACTACATTTGAACTTTACTTCTCTTAGGCCTATAAATGAAATATTTAAAACTTATTGAACTGATTTTGTTTTGAATTGATAATTGCATATGGGGCAGGAGCCCAAAGACATTGGTTATTAACACAAGAATCAGTTACTTTAAATTGAATGGGTTTTCTATGTTAGATTCCATAATTATTCTTGAATGAAATATAAATGTTTGTACTTTCCTTTAGAAAATCAGTTATGAAAACATTTTTTCCGGATAGCCTAGTGTGCTTTGTCTTAAACAGATTGTCCCAGATCATTTTACTATGTATTAAGGAGGCTAAAATTTTTTTAAATAATTATTATCAACTCTTCTGTACATATTTAGTTTTAAAAATCATTTATTATAATCAGATGATTGTATATTCTGTTGTTCTGATGATTATTATATATCTGTTGAAACAAATACTGTATTCCTCAGCGCCCTGTGAGTAATATAGATCGACTCTCATACACTGCATTAGTCACCACTGAGTATAAGTGTTAGGTTTTGTTTTGAAGGTATGCTTATTTATAGCATTTAAGAAAATACTAGAAAACTTATAAATGAGCTTGTTTTGCTAATCCCCTTTTCATACTACTTGCACACAATGCTGAAACAATTTTTTTTTCTTATGGTAAGAATGTGTATTGTTTTTCATTAATATGCTTTCCTTCATTAATGCATAAATTGTAAATAGGTGTTTAAATTTGCTTGTTTTACGAGTATTAAAATGATATCATCTAGTTATTCAGTATTCTTCTACTGTATATATGCACTTTTATGTGAAATTCTTTTAAGATTTCTATTACACAGAATTTTCAATTTTTTATTTAATATTGTTATGGATTTTGTATTTAGTTAAATATTTTTAGTAGAATTATAATTAAAATAGTTTTATTTTCCCGTGCAATGCAGCGTGTGACGAGTTTTAAGCTACACCGAAAAGTAAAAATGCAGGAGCACGCACATTTAATAAATAGATGTCTCATAATTTATATTTAAACTAAATAAATGTAATTGACTACTGTGTTAGCTGTGACCGTAATTCTACCCTTTTGCTTTCTGGAAATCTCGAGAAAGAAATTACCAGAACATTCTCGTATTTTAAATAACTGGAGAGAAACATCTCAGTTCAGTTGTTTACTTAGTTATTGTTACTGATTGTAGCGAATTCGTGGTGAGATCGGATTAGCTTTTTCTGCACTTTGAATTGCATTCTATTTAACATTTTAGTAGTTTAAAATATAACTACAGTGTGATATTTTACGAATATCTCTGAGGAAAAATTTCAGCATTTTGTTTTATTTCTTTATAAGAATAAAGTATATGAACTTTTTATCAGTTTATGTGTTCAACTTTAAGACTAAATTATATTAATTTATTATGAACCGTATGCGTGCAACACTTTTCGGCCAATCACAAGAGCAATGGAAGAACAACTAAAGCAATTACTGGCAGCCTTTGCTGCATTCAAAGAACAGGTGAAAGCTGGCCAAAAATCTGTTAAAAAAGAGATGAAAACTGGCCAAGAATCTGTTCAAGAGGAAATAAAAGCTGGCCAAGTAACTTTTAAGGAAGAGATGGAAGTTGTTCAGGAATCTGTTTAAGTAGAGATGAAAGCTGTACAAGAAAAGATTGAAGCAGCTGAAGAGGAAATGAAAAGAGAAATTACCTGTGTAATAGAAAACAAATTCAAGGCTATGGAAGGCAGAATAGACTCGATCAAAAATAGGGTTGGAGAAATTGAAGAAAAAGTTTCTTCTGTCACAGATAGAAGGGAGTGTTACTTCTGTGGAGCAATGAATCAAAGGAAGGGTTTTTGTAGTCCAACATCAGATCGAACAACAAATTGATGAAAGGGTTTCTATGGCTGCCAAACAAATTGATACCGTAAGGAAATTTGTAGTGGTGGCAGGTAGCAATAGTGATGGTTTTAAATTTTTACACATGTTAAAAAGTATTTCTCCCGCCTTCTTGGTGTGCTATCGTGGTGGGGTAGTCTGCACACTGGACGCATATTCCAGAGGTCCGTGGTTCAATTCCCAGCAAAGGCGTTGCATATTTTTCATCTTTCCTGCTTCCAAAATTACCTAATGTCAGTGGCGCCAAAACTAAAAGGGTATTGGATGATGATTCTCCTCACCTAGGATTTTATCCCCTAAAATCCCCAGTCACCCTTTAAAAGCGGGAGTATATAAGGTATTTCTCTCACCTTCTTAGCAAGCCTTCATGGTGCAGTGGTCTGCACGCACAGCGCGTAATTAAGAGATCCGTGGTTTGATTCCTGGCAAAGTATCCCTAATTTTTCATCTTGCATGCTTCCGAAAGTAACTAATGTCTCTACAATGTCTACCAGTCCCTTTCTGAAATTAACCACGTATGAGGGTAAGACTTCCTGAAAAGTATATAAGGCATGATTTTCTATAGTGGTGGAAGCAAATGGATGGGATTCCCAAGCTAAGGCCTGTTATCTTGCCACTTCTCTAAGAGCAGATGCTGTGGATATCCTTCAGATTCTTCTGGAAAACCAAAGACTAGATTTCTAAGCTTTATCTGGTGCGTTGGAGCTGTGCTTTAGCGATAAATGTGTAAAAGATTACTACAGGCTTCAATTAAAATCCCATCAACAGAAGCCTGTGGAAGCACTCCAGGAACTTGTCACTGATGTCGAAAGGCTATCTCATCTCGCTTTTTGGGAATACCTACAGAAAGAAGAGAAATCCTGTCCCTGCAATACTTTATTGATGCCATACGGGATTCTGAAATACAGAAAGCTTTACAAATGATGGGCGTTAAAGATTTGAAAAGTGCTCTGTTGTATGCCGTGAAATTCAAGGCAGCTCAGCAAGCAACTTGTAGAGATAGCTACCCAATCAGAGCTGTGCGAGCCCACGAGCCAGTGGATCAATTGATGGCTCATTTAGATGATTTATTCAGACAAGTTGATGCTTTGGTATGGAGTAGGAGTGAGAACAAAGGGGCTCTAAGGTGTTGGAGATGTGGTAGTGAAGGTTACATAAGACAAAATTGCAGAACACCCCAGGGTATGGAAAATAAAATAGATGATTTTACCAGACAAGTCAGTGAACAGAAGTGAAAAGAAACCAGTTCTGAAGGGCTGAAACTACGGTGTGGAAGGCCACGTGTGAAGGAATTGCAGAATACCTCAGAGCACGGAAAATAAGGCAAACAATTTAAACAGACGATTAAATGTCATGAGACTGAAAAGGAGTGACAAGAAAGCAAAGTGCTAGAACTGTGGAGCTGAAGGCAATGTATGAAGGAACTGGAGAACACCACAGGGCACAGAAAAAAAGACTATTTCACAGCAGTGACGCAGGAAACAAATTAATGATGATATCACGAAGTGAATTTTGAATGATAGTGAAAAATCCCATTTTAAAGCACTCAAGATTTCTGCAGTGAGTGGCAATAGTAATGGACTTTTTATCAATGGGCAAATCGATGAAGTTCCTTGCAATAGGATCATTGACACAGGAGCTAATGTTACCATTATTTGGAAAGATTTAGCTCAACATTTTAAAGGTAAACTGATTTGGATGCCATCCTGTATTAAGACTGCATCTGGTGATAAAATTGATAGATGGGAAGTTAAATGTGAACATCATGTTTGGAAGTGCCGCCTGCTATCATAGGGCATATGTGTCAGATATTACAAATCCTTGCATACTCGAATTGGACTTTTTAAGGAAGTTTAATTTTTCCTTGTACTCCAAAAACAACAAACTGCTTTCAGCATCAGAGGACACCACTAATCATCATCAGAAGGGATCCTCATCTGGAAACGCTGATGTCTTGTCGGAAAGACTCTGCTCAGAACGCTGCTGAAATCATACTAGGGTTGAAGAAAAACACCAGACTACCAGCTATTCCTCATCTCAGGTGCTCTTTGGTCGTCATCTTCGTCTGCCTTGTGATCTCTTGTTTGGTTGCCCTCCGGATGCGCCTTCATCGCTTGAGGAATACATCCAAGATCTTCAGGCCCGTTTTGAAGTGATGCACAATTTTGCACGAGAGCGAGTCAACTTGGCGACGGAAAAGATGAAGACCCAATACGACACAAGAGCTACTGGACATCGATTCAATGATGGAGACAAGGTGTGGTTGTGGAATCTGGCTCGACGGAAAGGACTCTGTCTTTAACTACACTCACCTTGGGGTGGTCCGTACACAGTCCTAAACAGGCTGAACGACGTTGTAGTTTGGATTCGTAAGTCGTTGAATTCTAAGCCCAAAGTCTTTCATTATGACAGCCTAACTCCTTACTATGGCCATAGTCCATAGTGTATATAATGTAAATAATATAAGACCATTCTCTTTTTTGTTTCTAAATTTGTATTTGATTAGTATTTAGTATTTGATTTGTTTTAAGTTACTTATTGCAATTATTGTTTAGGTTGTTTGTTGTTGTAATATAATGTTTATTATTGCAATTTTTTGCCTTCATTTGGCTTCCTGTCCAGGGATTTTACTGCCTGGGACGTGCACTTCATTGGACTTTGGGAAGGGAGCAGTGTTACGTATTTTGTATTTAGTTAGCTATTTTTAGTAGAATTATAATTAAAATTGTTTTATTTTCTGTGCTATGCCGTGCATGACGAGTTTTAAGAGAAAGCTATGAAGAAAAAATAAAAATACAGGAGTACGTGCATTTAAGAAATAAATATCTCATAATTTATATTTAAACTGAATAAATGTAATTGACTACTGTGTTAGCTGTAACTGTAATTCTACTCTTTTGCTTTCCAGAAATCTCGAGAAAACGGAAATTACCAGAACATTCTCGTGCCCGATTAAAAAGTTTTAAAAAACTGGAGAGAAACATACCAGTTCAATTATTTGCTTAGTTATTGTTACTGAATATAGAAAATTCACGGCGAGATAGGACTAGCTTTCTCTGCGCGTTGGATTGCATTCCATTTAACGCTTTAGTAGTTTAAAATATAACTAATGTGAGATATTGTACTAATATCTCTGAGGAGAAATTTCAGCATTTTATTTCTTTTGATAAGAATAAATTTTATTAACTTTTTATCAGACTTTTGTATTCAATCTATTATGAACCCATATGCACGTGACAATATCAATCATTTGACCCTTATATAAGTACATACACCCTTATCCCCTTCGAGCCGGGTAGCGCAAACGCGTGCTTATCGCGGAGGCCGGCAGTGTCTTACGCGAGCGTCTGGTCCAGGGCCGGGGGCTTTTTTGCTACTAAGCCTAAATCCATGAAATTTCCGAAGTATCAACGCATTGTTTAGTAATGCTCTATAGAGTATTTAAACGGCTTATGCTTTATAGATATTTTTATACTATATACTTTAATTACCTTATTTCTTGTTTAAATGCATATTTTACACATTTTATTTTCATTACTCACCATTTTATGACTTTTAACAGTATACATCTGAAAACTAAATATATTACTTAAAATTCTCTTTTCGTATGAAAAATTTGAAAACAGGGATCTACACACAGTCCTACGTTACATTCCTTGCACTCGTAATAACTCATTTGCTGTTTTGGAGGATTTTTCTGGGAATGTGAACAAACGAAGCATCGTCATCTCCTTTTTTTATCAGTCTCTTCTGAACAAAGTTTTGGAAAATGTCTTTCAGTTAATCTTTCAGAATCAATATCAGAACATCAGAATTTCAGAATCAATATCTGAAATATTTTGCATCATTTCTGCTATTTCATGCTCTGTTAAACATTTTCGATGCTTCGACATTGCAACGGTAGAAACAGAAAGAATTCACGTCTAACAAGATCTAATTATTTTCTAAAAACTGAACTGCAAACCGAAATACCCAACACTTTAGCGCAAATAAAACATATCTACTTGCAATAAACAACTACCACGTGCGAATAAAGTGCGATTTAAAGAGACGTCATAAATCACGCCATTCGGAAACATTTATTTCCCCTTTTGTTTATATAATCAAAAACACATGTATGCGAGTCATGCTTCTCTCATTTCGAGTAGAAGGTCTAATGTACATGTATTTGAAACCATATGGACATACAGCGCCATCTTGTGGCAGAAATTATAGTTTTTAAAATGTTCCAGGACACTGGCACAAATATGTGACAGTCGGTAGTGAACGGGAAAATGCTCTGGCACGCCTGCGTGTCGGCCGGGAAGTGAGTGTGTTCGTTGCTGGCACGTAGACGTGACAGTCGGCGCGAAGGGGTTAAACATTGTGAATCTGAACAAGGGAGCAAAACTTTAGGTGTTGATAGAAGGCAGCTATACTATATACAATATTTGTCATAGAATGTATGGTTGGAATGCAAACGGCAAGCTGCTAGGTGGCATTGTGAATAAATGGAATAAAAAGCGTCGATCCTCGCATTCAGCAGCATTTTCTACCATGGATTACCAAGAGGATTGCTGGTTTCATGAACCATGAAATTTTCAGACAATAGATTGGTCAAGGTGGCCCTATAGCTTGGCCACCAAGATAACCGGATCTCTCATGTTTGCACTTTTTCATGTGGGGCTATATAAAAAGCCTAATCTATGGGTGTCCCATTGAAAGCAATATGGATCTAGTCACCATGATTGCTGTTGTTGCTGCCAATATTCGGGAAATGCCTGGTGTCTTAGCAAATGTCTGTCATTCCTATCCTGAAGGTGTGAAGTGTGCATTACAGCTGGTGGAAGGTCTTTTGAGCAATTTCTATGAGCATGTTCTGTTAATAAAATGTTTTCTGAAATAGGTTTTCTCATTCTTGTGTTAATTCTTTAAATGTTACCGTGGAAAACCCTTTCTCGTCACTTGCGTTTTGACCATACATTCTGTGACGAATATTGCTTGTATAGCTGCCCAGTGTTGCCAGATCGTGCGGGTTTTTGTAAATTTGCGACTTATGATAAACTTGTGCTTGCGATTTTGCGACATCCATCATTTTCTTATGCTACTTTTTGTGACTTCAAAGATATTTTTAATATATCTTAAAATGCTTTCGTATTAAAAGATTTATATTAAAAAAAAAAAGTTTATTTACAGTTAAATAGAAAATGGCATTTGGCAATCTTGCTGTACAGTGGGCTTTCCTTTCCAAGGCTGCACAGCCTGATGCTGTATAATGAGAAAGGTGAAGGAAGAAAAAAAACTGCTTTGAGACCTTTCACCCTCCTCTCCCTTTGTTCCCAGTGAATTTTGTTTTTATTCCCTGGAGTTCTGTGGTGATAACGAATCGAACAAAAGAACTTGCAGCTTGTGCGCTAGTTACCCAGATAAATAAAGAAATGAAATTCATTCTCTTTATTATAATATTACTGAGAACTAAGCAATGGAAATGACTTTAAAATCAAAGCAATGGCATGTTTCTAAAGAACAACTCGAATAAATTTAACAGTGAAAGACTAAGGCTTTCTTATGTAATCAGAATCTGAAATAAATCCACCACGCAAAACTGAAATCTCGCTGTAAAGCATTCCTCAATTAAAATGTTCACAATTAAGTAAAAAAAAAAAAATTTTTTTTAATTAACTGCAAACTCAAAAAATTTATTACAAAAGTGCCAACAGTCTAAACGTGAGGAATCTCGTAAGATTGGATATTCACAAATTAATTTTAATATGGAAACCTAAATTAAATTAGAACTAATTAAAGAAATTGTTATTTAAACAATTGAAAATGAGCAATATAGTTTTAAAATTTTCGTTAAAGCTAAGATAATTAACGCATTTGACTGCGGTGTGGGGTCACCGGTGGCCGGCACTCGACTTGGCTACAGCGCCTTGGGGGCCATCGGTTATGCGACCAACAGTAAAAATATATAATTAGAGTAAATATCGATAGAGATAAATTTTTAAATAATAACCTTGCTACTGTAATGTTTTGAAGAGTAATAGATCATAAAAATGGTCTGCAGCTCCTATGGGGTGAGCGGTGACTCCTCATCAGGAAAAATGCATTAAGCATGATTACATAACTCACCTTATCTTCTGTAGATAATATTTCAACATAGTATGCGTGGAATAATAAAAAATTCATGTTGGCGCCATGGGCAAATCACGTAAAATGCGCGTGCCATTCAACGGGTTAAAAAGACTAAGAACTGAATGCAGTCTGTAACTTACGGAACCAATAGACAGTAAATTTGTGATGACATCAGAAGTCATGTGAGCATGCATAGCCTTTTGCTCTTCTGTTTGCTGATAGAGTACAAATACCATGCAGTGCTTTTTCAAGTCTGTTAAACCTGTCTGTAGTGATTTGACAATTTCTGATACATAATTGCTTGCCTACTACAGCACTTTCAGATACTATGCTATCACTGTATTTAGCTGGAGATTAATCATCTTATATTGTTTGCATCAATTGTATGATGTAGCATCAAGAGATTGATCATCTGGCATCAAATGAAGTTATACACTTCTTTGTATCACTTTTGCTAGTATAGTGAAAATTACTAAAAGTTTTTTCGAATTTGTGATAATGTTAAAGATACCATAATAAAAAGTTTATCTGCTAAAACTCATAAATGTGGAAATCTTTTGTTTTGGGGTTTCCTAATCTGATGTCACTTACATGAAATTTTGTGCAGTATTACCCATAAAGATTGCCTAGATTTAATGACTTGTGTTAACTGAAATTATCTCCTGGTAGACCATTCCGAAAAATATTTAAATATTGTATAATAATATAGTACATTAACTGATATTCATTTGCTTAGGAAATTACATCTTTGGATTGGATAATTCTGTGATATGTCAGTTAACAACTGTGTTTTTGCCACGAGGTGGGCAAGAAGGTGATGCTGCAGAGGAATCACATTCTTCAGCAGGTAATTTTATATTAATGTTTTGATATTGTTCCCATAACTAAAAATTTCTTAGAGGTTCAGAGAGTAATATTTCATCTTACTGAACTGAGCTGACATATAGACTCATTGTAAACAAAACAAACAAAAACAAAAAAGCGCCGAATGATAAAACTCGAGAAATTTATTGTTATACAAACTGTAGATACTAAATTTGGGCATAGATTTTGTGCCTGTTCCAAATTCAGCTACTAGTTTTCCTGCCTTAATATATCCGATTGACTTTTTCCAAGAAATATTATTATTTTGTCAGTTTTGCTGGCAGCATTCATGCAGACTATTTCTTCTGGAATGATGGAGGCATATTTGGAATCAAGCTAGCCTATATGACCTACCTGTAATTCCAAACCATTGGTGTGAATGCTTGCAGTGGTGTTGCATTAGATTTATGTGTGAGGGAAAATGAGTGTTTTAGTATTCATCTGTATTCTGTCCCTATACTGCTGGTCAACAGTTCAAAGTAGATGACAGCTGAGCTGATCTTTATTCTGTTGTTCAATATCATACAACTCGTACATGATTTAAGATACCATCAGCATTAGCAGCTGATTACCTCTAATATGTCTATTGTGCACAGTTAGTGGTACCTTGGTTGTGTCATTAATCTGTTCCAGATTCTTAGACATATATCAAACTGGATGTGTACCAAACAAAATTTTCCAATCAGAAATAAAAGGAAAATAATTAAGCAGATCTTATAAAAGGGTCCTATTATTATTATTATTAAAACACTGTTTAATGCTAAGATACCAATATAGTGGTTGAAATATATACTGTACATAAATGTTTTTCTTTTATGCAGATCAAAAGCAATTTCACAACATGCTATAAAGCCCTCTGATCATTATTTGGTAATTGATTTGAGCCATTTTGCAATATTAGTGTCGATTAATTAGTATCTTTGTTTTTGACAGTCATATACAACTTTGTATACTTTGCTACAATCTCTTTTTTCACCTCCATGGTGATCCTAACAATTTGCTTTGTTTCCCAATTTTGATCATTAACTTTCTTAAAACTTATTGTTAATGAATTTTAAAAAAATTGCCCTCCTTCCCAAAATAGGTATAAAATCACTTGAAAATTCAGAGTTATAGCACAGGTTGTTTATCAAATAGTAACAGGCATACATACAGGCTCATGGGCAATTGTTATATTGTCTCAAAAGAGGTAAACAAAAGTAATGTGTGCAGTTGTGACTCAACTAAAGTGATATTCAATACAAATGTAGTATATGAAACAAAAACCGAGCTTTACCGAGTTTTACATGTTTCAAAGTGAATGCATTCTGAAGTAACACTGTACTTTCCTTCTGCTTTAGCTTTACAAAAATTTCCTTTACCTTTGAACTTTTATAGATTCTAGTGTTTACATATTAATGCAACCACCTTGATGCAATTTAGCGATTTTTTTACAAAATGAAAAGGTAAAAGTTACTTATCGAGTGGAAGTTGACAATTTTTGCAACTTTAAAAAGAAGATATTTATAAGTTGACAAACACTATCAACATATCAAAATACTTTAGCATACTTTATCAATTCAAAATATAAATTATAATTATTAAATGAGTATTATGTGAGATATTTAAAAATAAAACAGATTTTCATTGCACATGTAAAAGTGCAGATCGGTGAATGTTATAGGTAAAAGAGAAATCTTATTATCGAAGATGCTTTAAAAAATTGCATTATACTGACAAATGACCTTTTGTGGGGTAGCATGATAAGCAAACTTTTGCTTCGATGCTTTTATGAAAGTCAAGGATATTTGAAAAGAGGCTATTAAAAATCTCGTATATGCACTGTTTTTCTGTTTTCAGAGGTTTTGTTTCTGAAGTTATTTTCTGATGCTTCTTCATGTTATCATACATCACTGGCCCATTTTTTAAAAAATAAAATTAGAATGACGTAATTGTAAAACAATGAGAATTGTAAATTTCTGAATTTTTTCAGAGCTAACTTATATCAGTTTATAGAGAATTATTGTTTGTTGAAAAGATTTTTATGCAACATGGAGTATCATTTCATACTGTATAAGTTGTAAATGGCTTTACTTGCTACAAAAATTATAGGAACAGCTAAGAAAAAGTGCTTTATACTACTTTCATTAAGTGCAGTGAAAGGTGGTTGGTAGCTGAATGTCATTATTGTCACGTAGTCCTTTGGGATTTCAGTCTCTAGCATTGGAATTTAAAGCTATTATAAATAGTACATAGTCTGAAATCTGCATATATAGTATTGAGAACTATCTAATATCTGGACCTCTAGTACCAACATTTTTTTTTTGGGGGGGGGGAGAATTTTTTATAAAGTCTATGAATGAAGAATATTATATAGAAAACAGGAAAAATATGCTGTAAAAGCGAATTTTTGATCAACTGAGATTCCTATACCTCACAAACATCTGCTGGATAGAGAATCATACTTTGCTTATGATAGTACAATGATTGCTGTTAGCCATGATCATGCTTTCAGCATTAAAGTGGTTATGGCAAGGGTAACATTTTCTATCTGACCTAAATGGTAAGTTAAACTTGAAAACATGTCTTTGGAGCACAATGTTGCTTATGTTTGTTTTCTTTTATTTGCATAGCTTCCAAGGAAGAAGGAATTAAATTCGGAAGAGCTTCAGTTAACGTAGCATTTACTCATACTGGTTATCTTTTGTTGACATGATAGTGGGGAAAACCTGCTTATTACATTCAGATTTCTGGAAAACAAAACATAACTGTACTAATCAGCAGAAAAAACACTTGAATTCATCTCCACCAGTTATAAAATTCAGATTGGTAAAAGCCTAATTTTTACCACCCAATTAATTTACGTATGCTCATCAAAGATGTTTATAATTCAGTCATTTCACTTTTGCAAACTGTTGGCTTATTTATTATTCAGGTTATGTGGTGCTACCTTCCCTGGTATTTGTCCTATGATACATTTTTAAACCTCTTTGTTTGCACTGGAGCTCAGAGAGGAAGCATTTCCTTATCTTATGATTAACAAATACAGTCCTCTAGAAGCATTGTAAATAAGTTAGTGTTCTTTCTTGAATAGCAGCTAATAAGAATTGCAACTTCTACATTCTACAATTTTTAAGTTTTACGCATTCAAAATCTTCCTTTTGTGATACATACATTATGTTCACACAGAGTTCTCAAAAAAGTTCTTGAAATGCTTGCTAGCATTACCATACATTAACAGTTTTAAATGAAAAAAAAAAAAAGTAATAAAATCAGGCTGAAGGGGAAAACAAAGAAAGCTTTGGTCATGCCTGTAATTGTGAAGTGGCAGACCAACTTAACAGACAAAGTGCAGACTTTCTTCTAGTTAAAAATATGAGTTTTAAAATTCAGCTAATCACTGGAAGAAGCATTTTTAAAATTTGCTATGTGCTTAATTTGTAACATATTAAAAATGCCTAAGTGAAAAGACTTAAAGAAAAGGGTAAGTTATTAAAATACATCTTTTTGCAAAGTTCAGCCATAGAAAAATTGCATTTAAGCTGGGAATATCCCAAACAAGGAATTTACTAAAAGAATTATGATTGGTAAAGAAATACACACACGCACAAAAGGCAGAAAATCGAGAGATGTTCAAGCTACATTTTTCGAATGGTTTTGGACTGTGAAACTGAGAAGTGTTTCACTAACTTTCATTTTAGCTCTGGAATTTGCTAAAATGCTGGGAGAGAATTTTGTGTTAACTGAGAGATGGATCACTGATTGGAAAGAGTATTCCAACATTGTTCAGTGGAAACTGCATAGTGAGAAGGAAGACAGATAATCATGTAGGTGGTAACTGAATAAAAGACATTTAACCTGGGTTGCTAAATGAATACAAGCCACATGAAATTTATAATACATACAAAACTGGATTGTATTCAAAGCATTGTCAGAATACACATCAATATTTAAAAATGAAGCAAGAAATGGTTGAAGAAACTCAAAGAGTGAGTTACTTGTTAAGTTGTAATATGGACCCAGCAGTTAAGAAGGCAATACTGAAATGCAGAAAACCTTGATGTTTGGGAAAAAAAAAAAAAAAATCAAGAATTTGCCTCTAACTTAGCACAACAAAAACTTGTAGATGGCAAGTAGAATGTTTACTTTTTTTTCTTTTAAGTTGGACAGTGAACTGTAAAATTAGCTTTACTAATTAAATAATTCTTCAGTTCACACACCATTGACCTTTTTCTAAAAGACATTAGACAAGTAGAATGTTTACTTTTTTTTTAAGTTGGACAGTGAACTGTAAAATTAGCTTTAATAATTAAATAATTCTTCAGTTTGACCACCTTTGACCTTTTTCTAAAAGACATTAGTGTCTCTTCCTGCAAATACCGCCCACCAGCGGCCAAGCGGTAAAGTCGCTGAACACTGGTAGTTCGGTCCGAGGTTCGAATCCCACGAACGGGCTGGCTGCATGGGTGTTTTCGTGGTTTTCCCCCATGTGTGACGTGTATATGAGCTAGTTTCCCTTAGAAAGTCCTCCACGAAGGCATCCCCCCCTTAGGCAGATAGCCCTAGGGTGCTTTGTCATAATTAAATACACCACACCACACCACCTTCCTGCAAATACCACTTCTGACATTCGGATGTTAGACGAGAGCATTATAAAAGCTTATAAATATCATTGCAGGAAAGATATTCTGAGAATAATAGATGAGACTGAATCTTGTGTAAATGAATTGAAGAAAATATCATTCAATGGTGGTAACATTTCCAAATAGATCGTGGCTTGGTAAAGAGAAAATTGTGCTTTTGTTGTAGAGCAGTTTATTCACAATGGTGAAGTTCCTATAGCAACACAGCTTGCCTTTTGCATCCACTTCACGTTCAGTCAACCTGATCCTGTTCTTGACTAAAAAAAATTATCTACCATTGGGTGTCCAATTTTAATAGCTTTGAAGGCAGTGATACAGAGGAAGTAGATACAATTATGCTCAAAATGACTCTCAAAATCTT